AATAATAGTAATAATAATAATAGCTTAATAATATCACTTTGTTGTTGTCATTATTGTTGATGCTGTTGTTGTTGCTGCGGTAGACAGTAATGCAAATAAAAATATTGTAAACAGTTGCTATCTTTTAAATGTTGCGTTTTGTTGTTGTTATTTTCGTTCTTATTGTAGGTTCTATGATCTAAAAAAGTGATCTGTGAAGTAATATTATTTAGGATTTTAAAAATTCGACACTAAAGAGTATGAAGGTGATGTGAATGAATGAATGAATGAATGAATGAATGAATGAATGAATGAATGAATGAATGAATGAATGAATGAATGAATGAATGAAGCTACCTGGGTCAAAGTCATAGCCTGAGGTCTCGTCATCATCCAAGTCACCGTCAGAGCCACAGTTGAGGTTGCCGTTCTCGTCGTTGTCGTTGTTGTTGTCGTCGTTATTGTTGCTGTTGTTCTTGGTGTCGTTGAAGCTGTCGTCGCTGAAGGAAGACGTGCGCCCGTCATAGCTCCACTGCGAATGAGGCTGGGGGCGGGTGTTTTGTGCGTCGTTGTCAAGGACGCTTTCGTGAGCTTCTCTTGAAGTCTCATTGTTGCCGAAGTTTTGGTGTTGTTGCGTGTGGTTTTCTGGGCATCGGCCGGCAAACGGCTTCTTCTGGTGATGGTCTATTTGATTTATAGTTTGAGTGAAGGGGGTTCCACTTTGTTTGCAGTTGCTATGCTGATTGTTGACGTTGTTTAGGTGAATGTCTTTATCGAATTCTGGGTCAGAATCCGATTTGGTGAAGAATCCTGAATTTGTAGTGTCAATACTTTCTTCGGTTTTCACGTGGTACGGATTTCTATTAGTACTTAACGCGTTTGGTAAAAGGCCTGACATCCCGTCTTTTAAAACAATCTGGTGTGAAGGAAAGGTTGGGTTATATTCTTCGGAAGAATCACGGTGAACATCTGATTGATACGAGAAAACGTCTTTGATTGACGAGTTCTGCTTCAATCTCAGTTGAGGGATCTTGCTACTGGGGTCTGTCTGGTCATTTTCCTGTTTGCAAAGTTTGTCTCTACAACTATTTGTCCCCGTAGAAATCCCGCGTTCTAAAACCCTTTCCTCTACAGTATGGCTCGAGCTGTCGTCCCTGCTCCCATCAGCACACCTTCTCTTTGGAATTTGTTCATTGAGAAAGAAAGGTCCTTGCGCGTGAAAAGAATGGGCATCCCTTGCATAAATTTTCGGCAACATTGTCTTTAATTTCATTGTTTCTTTCCCTGGGAATTCTCTCCGGCACAATCTAGCGCAACATTTACAAGCTACGTGGCATAATGCATCAGAATCCCCCCTGTTATCTTTTTTCCGAGGCGATCGTTTTCCTTTATCATAATTTCCATTTCTTAATCCAAATTTTTGATCACGCGATTCCGTAAGTAACATTTGATTACTGCTGTTTTCTGCATTATAATCAAAAGGGCTTTTATCAAGTGAATACGTAATAAAACCCGATCTGGACACATTCGAGTCAATAAATAACTTCGGTACATCTGGCTTTCCTATTTCATCGACATCTGTAGTAACGTTTTCACAACCCTCAAAAGGTCTGAACAGTTTTTCTTTTGTTTTGTGTAACGTTTTTGTTTCCGGTCTCTCTAGTTCGGGACTAGGCAGGGGCTCAGCATCCGGTTCTTCTGCGCACACGCTTTTGCTGGAACTTGACTCTGGAGCCATATCATGAGCTGGTACCGCATTTTCTTCCTCGCTGTCTTCACTGAAAGCATCGACTGTGTTGTCTTCATCCATTTCTTTACCATCGGAATCTGTGATATCGTCTTGTGTTGGTGCTGTGTTTTCCATATGTAGCATTTTGCGACCTGACGAGTAAAACAAGGCTGATTATATATCACACACCGAGTCGGTTTCTCTCATATTATTACAGTCGAACCTGTTTTAAAAATCACCTGTCCTAGGAGACCATGAGAACAAACAACCCCTCAACCCCTCCCTAAACCTTTTGCAGGTTTTAAAAGAATTATATTATCTATTATAATGACACCGTCGAAGAGGACCCCCTGTCCAAAATGACCACTTGTCTATTCAATGACCAGTTTGTTCCTCTATAATGTGGGATCGTTTTGGTGGACCGATTCAACTGTATGTTGATTTTTTATTTCTCTCGCTGTTAGCCGAATATAAAACATGAATAGGTCATTGTTGGAGTTGGTAGCTTAATTCAGAAATAAGATGATTTTTAAGTCAATCCTTGGAAGTAATGAACATAGCACTTGTAGATCTCCCTTCTGAGCTATGATGATCTCGTGAGCCATTCTGTCATTAAATGGGTTGCACCTCCAGCTCATGTGCAACTTCTCCGCTCGTCTACTACC